GTGGGGAGAGAGAGAGGTGTGGAGAGAGACATGAGAGAGGTGGAGAGAGACATGAGAGAGGTGTAGAGAGAGACATGAGAGAGGTGTGGAGAGAGACATGAGAGAGGTGGAGAGAGACATGAGAGAGGTGTAGAGAGAGACATGAGAGAGGTGTGGAGAGAGACATGAGAGAGGTGGGGAGAGAGATGAGAGAGGTGTGGAGAGAGACATGAGAGGTGTGGAGAGAGACATGAGAGAGGTGTGGAGAGAAAGATATGGAGAGAGACATGAGAGAGGTGGGGGAGAGAGACGAGAGAGGTGTGGAGAGAGACATGAGAGAGGTGGGGGAGAGAGATGAGAGAGGTGGGGAGAGAGACACGTGAGATGTGGAGAGACAGCGATGGGGAGAGACATGAGAGAGATGTGGAGAGAGACGAGAGAGGTGGGGAGAGAGACATGAGAGAGGTGTGGAGAGAGACGAGAGAGGTGGGGAGAGAGACATGAGAGAGGTGGAGAAAGATGACAGAGGTGTGGAGAGAGACATGAGAGAGGTGGGGGGAGACATGAGAGAGGTGGGGAGAGAGATGAGAGAGGTGTGGAGAGAGACATGAGAGGTGTGGAGAGAGACATGAGAGAGGTGTGGAGAGAAAGATATGGAGAGAGACATGAGAGAGGTGGGGGAGAGAGACGAGAGAGGTGTGGAGAGAGACATGAGAGAGGGGGGAGACATGAGAGAGGTGGGGGGAGACATGAGAGAGGTGGGGAGAGAGATGAGAGGGGTGTGGAGAGAGACATGAGAGAGGTGGGGGGAGACATGAGAGAGGTGGGGAGAGAGATGAGAGAGGTGTGGAGAGAGACATCACAGAGGTGTAGAGAGACGAGAAAGATGTGGAGAGAGACGATAGAGGTGGGGAGAGAGACATGAGAGAGGTGGAGAAAGATGACAGAGGTGTGGAGAGAGACATGAGAGAGGTGGGGGGAGACATGAGAGAGGTGGGGAGAGAGATGAGAGAGGTGTGGAGAGAGACATGAGAGGTGTGGAGAGAGACATGAGAGAGGTGTGGAGAGAAAGATATGGAGAGAGACATGAGAGAGGTGGGGGAGAGAGACGAGAGAGGTGTGGAGAGAGACATGAGAGAGGGGGGAGACATGAGAGAGGTGGGGGGAGACATGAGAGAGGTGGGGAGAGAGATGAGAGGGGTGTGGAGAGAGACATGAGAGAGGTGGGGGGAGACATGAGAGAGGTGGGGAGAGAGATGAGAGAGGTGTGGAGAGAGACATGAGAGGTGTGGAGAGAGACATAAGAGAGGTGTGGAGAGAAAGATATGGAGAGAGACATGAGAGAGGTGGGGGAGAGAGACGAGAGAGGTGTGGAGAGAGACATGAGAGAGGTGGGGGAGAGAGATGAGAGAGGTGGGGAGAGAGACACGTGAGATGTGGAGAGACAGCGATTGGAGAGACATGAGAGAGATGTGGAGAGAGACGAGAGAGGTGGGGAGAGAGACATGAGAGAGGTGTGGAGAGAGACGAGAGAGGTGGGGAGAGAGACATGAGAGAGATGGGGAGAGAGACATCACAGAGGTGTAGAGAGACGAGAAAGATGTGGAGAGAGACGATAGAGGTGGGGAGAGAGACATGAGAGAGGTGGAGAAAGATGACAGAGGTGTGGAGAGAGACATGAGAGAGGTGTGGAGAGAGACATGAGAGAGGTGGGGGGAGACATGAGAGAGGTGGGGAGAGAGATGAGAGAGGTGTGGAGAGAGACATGAGAGGTGTGGAGAGAGACATGAGAGAGGTGTGGAGAGAAAGATATGGAGAGAGACATGAGAGAGGTGGGGGAGAGAGACGAGAGAGGTGTGGAGAGAGACATTAGAGAGGTGGGGGGAGACATGAGAGAGGTGGGGGGAGAAATGAGAGAGGTGGGGAGAGAGATGAGAGAGGTGTGGAGAGAGGCATGAGAGAGGTGGGGGGAGACATGAGAGAGGTGGGGAGAGAGATGAGAGAGGTGTGGAGAGAGACATGAGAGGTGTGGAGAGAGACATGAGAGGTGTGGAGAGAAAGATATGGAGAGAGACATGAGAGAGGTGGGGGAGAGAGACGAGAGAGGTGTGGAGAGAGACACGAGAGAGGTGGGGGAGAGAGATGAGAGAGGTGGGGAGAGAGACACGTGAGATGTGGAGAGACAGCGATGGGGAGAGACATGAGAGAGATGTGGAGAGACGAGAGAGGTGGGGAGAGAGACATGAGAGAGGTGTGGAGAGAGACGAGAGAGGTGGGGAGAGAGACATGAGAGAGATGGGGAGAGAGACATCACAGAGGTGTAGAGAGACGAGAAAGATGTGGAGAGAGACGATAGAGGTGGGGAGAGAGACATGAGAGAGGTGGAGAAAGATGACAGAGGTGTGGAGAGAGACATGAGAGAGGTGTGGAGAGAGACGAGAGAGGTGGGGAGAGAGACGAGAGAGATGGGGAGAGAGACACGAGAGAGGTATGGAGAGAGACATGAGAGAGGTATGGAGAG